ACCATTCCATTCGGAAGTTGGGGTCTCCAAAATGGCCGTTTTGTAGGCGTCCACAGCTTCTTCAGGTGATGAAAATCTCTGTCTACGCAATTTATTCTTTATTTTAGGGAAAGTATAGAAATCATTAGGGCTTAGGTCGGGGCTGTACGGCGGATGGTCTAATAATTCTATGTTTTCTTGCTCTAAAAACTCTTTTGTTCTGTGCGCGGTGTGAGAACTCGCATTGTCGTGATGGAGGATGATGCGGCGGTTGCAGTTCTCTTTACGGAATTCAGAAACGACCTGTGGCAAACAAATGCTATCATACCATTCTGCATTAACCGTTCTTTGTCCCTCAAGAGGAATAGTCGTAACATGGCCGGTTTTGGAGACAAACGTGGCCACCATTTTTTTTGCAGCACTCCGTGAACGAACAATTTTTGTTGGCTTTAACTCATTTTCGAACACCCAAACTCGTGACTGGTTTTTTGTTTCGGGTTCATACGCGTATATCCAGGATTCGTCACCTGATACAATGTTGTATACAGCATTTGAGGATCCTGCGTGGAATCTTTCGAGAGTTCTGACGCACCAAGTAACGCGAGCCGCTTTTTGCTCTTCACAGAGCGAATGCGGTATCCATCCGGAAAACAACTTTTTTACACCTAATTGTTCATGCAAGATTATTTGTATTTGACTCATGCCAATGTCTAAAGTTGCCTGAATTTCGCGGTATGTCACATGTCGATCTTCCTCAATCAGCTTACGCACAGCATCAACGTTTTCTTGGGTGACTGCAGTTTTTGGACGACCTAGACGGGGATCATCACTGAGCTTGACACGTTCACGTTGAAACTCAGCAAACCAGCGATAAATTGTGGTTTTGGATGGGGCTTCATCACCAAATGCAGAAATCATCCGGTCAACACACTGTTTTTGTGTTAAGCCACTTCGAAAGTCATAATAAATCATCACTCTTGAATTTTCTCGAGTCAATTCCATTTTCTCAACGACTAAACAAGTTTGACAAAACCTCGTGACAAGACCGAGAATCTTTTTTTAAATAAATATATGGTATTCGATTTTTAAAACCAAGGAGTTTTCAATTAAAAAGATTTTAATATGACAGGAACAGTGGAAATATTCCATTCCCGATACTTTTAGTGCAGCCCTCGTATGCGTGCGTGCGTGCGCTTATTTGTGTGTTTTACTTTAATATATTTAGAATAGCCTCTGTTTCGTCATAGTTTTTAGATCTGAGCCATTTAGAGATACTAAATATACCGATACAAGACATCCTTGAGCGCCTGCATGTCCTTCTGCAATCTCGAATTCTGCTCCCTCGCCTGGTTCAGTATGATCTGGCGGCTGCTACAGCTCATACACACTTCCACTAAAGGAATCGCCGTCGACCCGCAATTATCTGTCAGAGAACAAAAGACATCGGAAGGTATGAACACAGAACAATGCAAAAAAGACCACAAGTGACATCATAGTGACATCAAGTTGCATAAGGTGATTACCTAAGCTACTATAAAGCTATATATGTTGATATAAATAGTAGTTGTAATAGTAGTAGTAGTAGTTGGTAGTAGCGTTACCCGGGTAATACTGTGTTAAAAAATATCCAGGTTAAAGCTACATCTTTGTGCCAATTTTCGACTATATCCATTCCATTTTCCCTGACGAAGTAACAAACAAACTGTCATGTTTAAATTATTTTATAGTATACTTAACATTAGTTAAATGGGTGAATTACCTCTATCAGGCATTTCAAATTTCTTAACTCTCTCATCCAACTCTTTGTTCTTCTCTTCCAGATCTCTATTTCTACTCCTCTCCTCTCTAATACCTGTTTTACAGTCTTCTACATATTTCAATGCGACTTCATACTGCTTTCTAAGTTGGTCATTCTCTTCTGTAAACAGTTTGTTGTACTCTAAGACAGTCTTGAGTTTGTCTTTAAGTTTTGCTATTTGATTGTCTTTTTCTGAAATCTGATGTTATTTATTTAATTTAAAACAATTTAGGAGACCATTACATGCATGCCAATCCAGATAATGTATAAAAAGAAGTGGCCTCTGTCATAGACTAGCTTCAACCTAGTCTCAACCTTTGGTTTAGAAGCCCATACCTTAATTAAAACAGACATTACATAGAGGATGTTATGAATCCATAACAACTGTATACATATTATGACCCTGGTCTGAATGACAACAAACAAACCAACAATATATTATTTATTATTGCAATGATAAAATTGTAGAGAGTTAAAAGATAGGATTGAAATGAACCAAATTAAAATAGACTCTTTACAGCCAAGTGAATGTGAGACAGTGTGCCTATCATGGTAACAACGTTTATGTTAAATTTGAATCAATTATAATGGGAAAAGTTGGGAATAATTATATCGTTCAACTAATCTAACTTATAACAATATAGTGTAGATTTTTCCACCACATGTGGCATATATTTTTCGACATATCAGTATATAGAACAACAAATTTATGTAGAATAATTACATAAATACACCAGCCAGATGGTCAGATCTAGCAAGAGAAGCACTTAGTAGTAGTCTGTACCATGCAGTCCATGCCACCCATGATCGAGCACAGTGGAAGAACGTCACATGTGGTCAAGACCCTCAGTAGTGAGGGAACAATATAGAAGAAGAAAGAATAATTACCACAGCTATATTCTCTTCACACTTCTCCATCAAGGAAGTAACCAGTATTTCATATTTCTTTGTTAATTTTCTTTTTTGTTCTTTTGCTAGACTCTTGTCTTTAGACTGACATGTTGACGTAGTAGTAACTGTATGAGCGGTACGTTTCCTTGGTGGTTTTACAGGTTTCTCTGTAACTGTTTGTAACTTCATAGTGATTATTTCTGAATTAAATATTTTAAAGGAAATTGTATATTTTAATTTATGATGACTTTGAGATACTTCAATAACCATCCACAGCATGAAAGTGGCTTGCAGCAGAGACCGAGCCCTTTATCACTGAACCACAGGACTGGCGTAAATTTTACAACTTTAAAATTTGTAATAAAATATATATAATTGAACTAAATCACGCACTCCTATATATGAATATTGAAAGTTTATTACCAATAATATCTCTCGGATCCTCATACATCTCATCATCTTTATTTTGTTTTACTTGTCCTGTCTTCTTCATAACCTGTTCTAAAATATTTTGTCTCATGATCTCTCTATCACAGTGGGGTATCACATCAAAAGCTCGATGCTGAGAAGTAAAATTTCCAGACAGAGTTAGCTTATCAGTTTTTGGCTTACTATGTCTTGATAGCTTTCCGTTTGTCTGAAAATGTATTTATTTACCATTTAGCTATTTGTTTAATACAATCAGAGTTAATGGTGGTTCAATTAAACTGCTACTAAGTAAATTGAACTACCTATCTGTATGTTGATAGTAACATGGGATACTGATTCTTGGCTACCAAAACACAAATTTCTTTAAATTAATGTTATTCAAAATATAATTAACTTTTCGTATTTAGTTAGGTAATTAAACAAACGAGTTTATAATTTTATAAAGTTTACTAACTGTACCTTGATATCCATCACAATATTCTGCAAAAAGCTAAACTTTTGGGTAAATTCATTTTCCAGTTTATGATTGAAATCATAACCGCGACGCTGTTTATCCTTTGATATTCTGCTTCATACGACAAAGACATTAGTCTATTTGGGTCACTGGAACAATACGGTACCAGGAGAACACGAACTTACAAAGTTTATGGGTATTGATAAAACATAACCTAATTATAACCAGTCAATGTTGAATTTAGGACAGGGTTAAGAAGTAAGTAAAATTTTTTTTAAGAAATAAAGTGTGCATATCTTGCAGCTCTTTGTTCTTTAAAATCGCTGAATAATCTATAAAAATCAAGAGCTTTTGAGAGAAAAAACACTTTGTAGGTAATGTCATTTAGAAGTAAACAAGCTATGAGTTTTGACATTTCTGTCGCTATGGTAACGCTTCAGAGACAGTGATTTTTATTTGTACGAAATTCTTACCTATTTAAATAAGTCTCTCGGTTTTAAATTTGTACAAAGACTGATATTGTCATCTTTGGGAAAGACGGGAACCATAGATTATACACCGGGAACTTTAATCGCTGTACCGAACAGTTAGGGCACGACTTGGTATGTGGGAACAAAGTACAAACTCTAAAGAACCCTTCTCTAGCTTTTTCAATCAAACGTCCGGTCCTCACTCTGAGACAATACCTACTTAGAAAAAGAAAAAGTAAGGATGTCAATTGTAAATTGTAAGTAATTGTAAAGCGTAACTCTAAGTAGGTACAATTTGCAATTGCATAATTATAGTATGCTGACCTATGCTTCTTCAGTTGCTGCTAGCGTTAGACATGTTAGCGTCAAACCCAGTTGAAGCTCATCAGAGCTCAAAAACGTTAAATTCATCAGGGCTTTCAATATTGAATTCATCTAAGTGTCCTAAGAGAATACATCATTGCCTGAAGGACAAGACACCCGAGGTGCTTAAATTAAACGATACGCCCACGCCGGCTTTCAATCTATGATGCAGGTAAAAATATTTCATGAAATTCGTACCTAACCCATGCTAGTAAATGACTTCCACAATGAAGGAATAATTAATGTAATAGTAATCTAAACCGGAAAAACATAATTTGTGTAATAACTGCTTGTAGGGCGTATTGTGAGCCTGCCAGTAATCAAGTTTGATTAGGGCGTTGGCTATTTCTGCCGCAAAGCATTCTTTCCGGCTTGTGGGGTTGAACTAGCTATGACAATGAGTTCTGGTTCCCACTTAAAATCAGATGGATCGTGAGTTTGTTTGCCTGTCTGTATAATAAAAGGCAGGATCTTCAAGGTGGAAGATGTTATAGGTGAAATAGTTGACTATATTGTCGAAATGCCTACCGTTGGTAGTAGGCATTATGCAGCTCCAGCTTGGTCATAGATTATACACTTAAAACTTGGTACTGACATTACTGCTCCAGACATCACAGAAGAAGTACAGCATCTGGTAGACAAGCAGATGCGACGACGACCACAACTTGTCTTGTCAACGTAATCTTGTATAGGGTGAAGTTAAATAAAACCTAGGCAATTTCTTTGCAAACGTTCATTAATTTCAAGCTGTGGCGAACTTCACTACAGACTAATAATTTTATGTTTTTTTTTTATTGCTTAGATGGGTGAACGAGCTCACAGCCCACCTGGTGTTAAGTGGTTACTGGAGCCCATAGAAATCCACAACGTAAATGCGCCACCCACCTTGAGATATCAGTTCTAAGGTCTCAAGTATAGTTACAACGGCTGCCCCTCCCTACAAACCGAAACGCATTATTGCTTCACGACAGAAATAGGCAGGGTGGTGGTACCTACTCGTGCGAACTCACAAGAGGTCCTACCATCAGTAAAAGTTACTGATAAAATTACTGTTACTTACTTTAATAAAAACTTTTATTTACTCAATGCCCATCACTATTTGAAGGGAACGCGAGGAGAGACATTACAAGGACTAGAATATTTTATTTTCTTCAGGTTTAAACATTTATCACTGGTGGCTTATGAAGCATTTATCATCAGTGAACTTATTGCAAGTGAGGGAAAATGAAACCTTAATCTCTGAGTTTGGCTTTTCGGTTTCTGTCAAAACTTCTGCCATCTCTGTTAACTCTCACTGCTTTACCAGAATATTACTTCACCTCATCTCTTATCATTCCATTTCATTTATTTCAATTCATTTCTACCCAATTGGTCACAATTTCAGATAGGTAATCAACTTAATTTCATTTTTAATAAATAAATTCGACGCTAGTAGATATAAAAGGAATAAGATTTGCGTAAAAGACTATAAACCAGACAATGAAATAATAATTTATTAAGTCCACTGACTTTAAATACTGCCCTCTGTACAATCTATTTGTAAGCGTTTAGAAATTATCTTCAAATATTTTAACATAGATGGAACTAGCAGCAACAAACTCATTAATGTTAGACCATTACACCACCAAAAAATAAACCTGCTTGTTTAGCAAACCCCTAATGTATTGCTATAAAAATTTAACTTTACTGTATTATATTGAAGTGAACATGCGCCAAAACAGCTGAGTGATAACAGCGACGTTTTGCGGCTTTTTCTCGAACTAGACAGTCGCATCATGTCAGTCCGCCGGCTCGGTGTATGACGCTCAACGAATTCTATAACCTATAAATCGTTTGTTGTCACTCCGTCCCTTTGAACAGGAGTTTGTTGCAGTTAATCTTAATATTTTTTTCTTGAATATTAGTGCTATGCAAGTGTTGATTATATTGTTAAGCTAACAGTTTTTAAGGGTATTTTGAAGCGCGCTGTGATATGCGCTAACTTTATTGATTTTCATGTTACAATGAACGTAACGTATTGTTTACTTTTTATTTGTATTATAATCTAAAACATGTGTTTCTTATGTAATATTCGGTGGTAGTGTTGTGCTGTGATCAATTCAATTATGTGCGAGAGTTCGCGCGAGACTTCGTGTTTTGGATGACAGAAAAATGGAATTCGAAAACGATTTCAGCTTGAAAGAATGGGCGAAGGACAAGCCTTTGTCCATTCTGCAGTTGGACCCGGCCGACCGTGCAGTCCTCAGGATAGCAGGTCGGTTTAATACTCTTATGTAGCTTTACATCTTTTTTGTAATGTAAAACAGACTTTTTGTTGTAATCGGGTCACGTTATCATACGTACATGTATAACGATAGTGACGACAGTTTTTTGATTAATGTTTGCACACGCGCATGATAAAGTTGTATATTCTGCGTATAGTGTATAAAAAGTTATCTAAGCTGTTTACCTGACGCCTTCAGATTTCATCCGCTCACTAAATACAGTTGTTTTTTTTTTGCGTTCACGGCCTCGACTAACTTTGTTTTCACTTTCACCCATTCTGTACAATTTTTTATTCTACATTATTAGTTCTCATAATATATGTTCGTTAAAATTGAAAGGATTCAATGAATAACAAATGCGTACATGCAATATGTAAGTTCAAAGAACAAAAAAAAGGTTATACACGATGGCGGGTAAACTTATTACATGGGTACGCGCCGGTTTTACCCATTGAATAGGCGCCGAACAAAAACTGGAATACCCATTTCCCCGTGTGAATTTCTCATGGTACGAATCGTGCAAGAAAATAAATTTACTGTTAGTAAATTAACAATAATTTACGAGATTAATTTCGAAAGGCAAGTCAATAATTTATGTAGTATTCGATTGAAGACGCTGTTTCTTCAAAAATAGTTGTTCTAATTCCGAAATTCTTATTACCATAAACAATTTTCGTATTTCAAATTATTCATTATAAATACCAACGTTTAACATTTCAAATTCGAATTTCTATTAATAAAACAGCACACGATGGCGCAACGCTCGATGATAACGATTTAGCATTTTGAAATGTAGCCTACACTGCGATACTTGGTACCTACCCTAGTTTTATACGCTACCTTTCATTTTGTTGCAAGTTATACCAACCAAATATGTAAATAATACCAACCAAATAATAAATAAGCTGATAGAAAATCGTATGTGGGTATTCTGAATTTAAAAATAGTTTTTAGTGCTAGGCATTACCTATTCGTTTTCCGTTCTGTATTTTATTGAATCTAAAATAGGTTTTTAAAAAATTCCTTTGCCTTTCGTATGGAATAAAACCAAGCGGCCCGTAGTATTGTGATCACGGTCGCTCGTGATCATAGCCAATTCTAAGGGAACAGCCAAGCCACTGTTTGGAAAAAACTATAGCGGCAATCTATGTATAAACCCGAAAGCCGGCACGGGTAAGCACCATTATCCTGCCGCGTGGCGTTCCGGTTTGTGGATGGGACAGTCATTACAAAAATACATTTAGAACTTCGACCTCGTGTTCCAAGGTGGATGGACTACACTTTCTGATGTTCCGTGACGGTAACCAACATGCTAGATGAGCAGAGTAAGCATTTTTCACATTTGCAATTTTTTATTATTGTAAAAACGTATATAATCTAAAATACTCTCTCAAATAATCTTATCTCTACAAGAATGTTTGTTTTGTTTTAATCACACCTTTGAATGTCGAAGAAACGTCTACTCGCTGTGGTAATGATACTATACATATTTATCAATAGTTTTATTATAGGGTAGTTTTAATTTTTTTTTACCCGTTACTAGCAATTACAATTTGCACTCAGAATCGATGCCACGATCGCATCGACGTATTTAAATTACATAATTGGTAATTAAAATCACAAATAGAAAACTATAAGGCTTATTAGAGTTTAACATCTCAATAAACATTTCAATTCTTTGATCGAGTATAAAGAAGTACTTACTTGGACTACCTATTATAAGAATAGGTATATTCAATATCACGACCTCATGAAAACACTACAGGAATATAACACCGAGCACAAACTTGGGATTCGAGTTTCAAATTTAAACTTCGAACAATGAATGAATTCCTTATCCTGTTGGCTGAAGAAAAATGGCTCCATTGTTTTCAAACGAAACCTGTTCGACCTACGAACTCTTGTACAGGTTATAGAATATTGTTTATTGGGTGCAATGACGTTTAATTTTTAGTAACATTGAATGTTTCATAATCAAGAAGAATTTAGCGCCGATGAGTATGCTTATAATGGAAGTGAAAAAAGAAGGCGTCTTTTTTTTTTTTTTTTTTTTTTCTTTCTTTTTTCTTTTTATTGATGCCCAAAATAAATTGCGACCATAGAAATTATAAGTATAAATGTTTAACATAACAATGATTTTTATTTCTGTCATGATCGTTAAGATAATTATAATCTTGAAAATGATTGAACTGAATATCTTCTTAATAGTTCTTATTCTCTACGCGTTTGCTGGTAGCCTAAGAGGCTATTAGCCCTAGCAAGAGCAATGC